ATTTTTATTAAAAATTGTCTTTTTTTTAGGGGATTCTGCCCCTCTAGGACGCCCAAACCTGCAGATCCTTATTACTAATCAAGATTATTAATCAATTTATACAATTTTACTCTTTGTTACATCTATTCTTATATAAAAACCAAACTTACCTTTTTGGTTTTACTCTTTCTTCTACAAACACTCCATATTCTATGTTATAGCACACCTTTATTAACTTTACTCAATCATACAACCATCAAATTATTTTTTACAAAGTTACTGCACACTAAGAGGATCAATTCAATAATCTTGCTGACCCTTAAATCATTTCGAGTTAAAATTCTTCTTGATGAGTTGCCTACTCTTTATATATTGTACAAATGCAATCATCATATCTTACTCAACTGTTATCAATAAAATCAAATTAGTACACTACTACATTGAGTTACCTGCCCATCACCTGCACTATTGCACAATCTTATCAATAATTCTCTACAACAGGTTATCAACTCAATATCTTTGGATGTCTTACCTGAATTGATTACTACAGTTCATAATTAAATCAAACATTTTGGCAGTATGATATTTCATTACAACTAACGTACTCCATCTATCAACTCTACTCTGTCTGGGCTAGTTCCTTTTGATATTATAAATCTACTCAAGGATATTACTTCATCTGCTATATTGGCATTAACTATTACTATCAAATTTCTTTTATACCTTAATTCACAAATTTATTATAATATTTGGATACCTTATTGTATTTCTCGTTCTTCAATTCAACCTTCTAATAATGCTACATCTTCTCTATCAGTTTCATCTCTTTCTACCTATCAGTCTTCTCAACTCCTACCACTTACTATAGCTAGTGCTAAATTGAATTATGGTACCCTTTATAGATCAAATATCAAACAAATTTAAACTACATAATTACTAATTCACAAATCTAGATAAGCTATGGCCACCCTAGTTGGTTTAGGCTGCAGATAAAATAGTCTGAGTTTCTTTTCTTGCTATCTTAGAATATAAAATTTAAATAGATTCTTTTCTTTGTAAAGATTTTCTTTTTACTGTAAAAGAATTAAATTAAATTTTAATAAAGTCAGAGACATAGTCTCACCATTAATATTCAAAAAAAAAAATTAGATATGATATATCATGTGACTAATATAAATAACGTTAATAAAAATTTCTATAAAGTGACAACATATCAATATAATTTTGATTTACTTGGTTGACAGGACACCACAGTCATGTGTGTATTTCAGCACTGATGGATACTGAAATAATTCATGTGATTAATTAGTTAGTAAGTTTATCACTCTGTACAGTATCCAGAAATACATTATGCATATTGTTAAATTATAGTCTGAACTAATTTTAATTTAGGCTATAACTTAAAACAGTGCTTAACTCCAGTAAAAAAATTATCTTTAAATCAGCATAAAGTTAATAATATAACAATATACAGATATATTTTGAATGTTTTTTTATTCCTCGAAGCAAAAATTAGTTTAAGAAAAATTTTTTAAAAAATCAATTAAGTAATAAACAATAAGGTGTCAGTTTAATCAAAGAAACTCAACACAATTTATTATAAGATACAATCATAGTATATTAATAAATATAATTTAGTTTTTTACTATTATTAATATCCACTATGACATGTATTTAATCTTGAAAGTGGCTTTGTTTGATGATTTAATGAGTATAGAGATAGTGGTAGTTTTTATGATTACTAATCAATTTGTAAATTAAAGTCACGTGAAATATATAAAATACTACAAGGCTTTAGACAGCTTCTGATTGTATCAGTATTAAATAAATATTGTTGTATTATTTAAGTCAATAAGATGACTTAAGTTTATAAATATGATCGAAATGTAAAATATTAACTTATTATTTCATTTATGAAGAGAGATTTCTTCGAATAAATTAAATTTTTTTTATCAAAGATTCAAGTTTTTCATTTAACAAAAATTATAATTATGCAATCTAATTCTCAATATAAGAAATGTTATTTTTGTTATAAGGAAGAGTATAAATATATTAATTACCAAATAGATCAAGATTTTAAAGATACTCTTTTCTTAAAAATGTTTGAACTGTTCAAAGTAAAGATTTTTTCTTTTTTTTTAAAGAATTCAGTTACTAAAATTTTATACATATTCAAATCTTAAGATCTTAAGTCTACAATTCAATGCTTATTCGTAATGTATTATATTCTAAGGAATTAATCTCCACAAGTGAAGATTTGATTTAAAGAAACTTGTTTGCCAATAAAATTATGATACTTTTAAATAAAGAGTAGCCTGGTTACCATATAAATGTTCATTTATTTGGGTAATTATAATTAAAATTATAAATTTTAAAATAATTAATAATTAAAATTTATATTCATTTATCTGTCTAGATCATTTACGAACTTACTTGGAACATCAAAATCTGATGTGGATTTATGTATTATGATACAATCTAAAGAGTTAGATATATTTATGCTGGCTAATATATTAAAAAAATGTGTGTAAGATTTATTGCTTTGTGTTAAAAAATATGAATTAATCATCTGTACATTAAAAAATAGATCAAATGAATTTAGTTGAACATGTTCCAAATACTAAAGTTCCTATTGTTAGATTCTGGAATTCTATTTTGTGCATAAATCTGAATTTTTAATATTTTATTATGTCAAACTTAAGCTTATTTATTTTCAATTGTTAATCCCAGAAAATTAGCATGTGATATTAATATTAATAATACTGCTGGAATTTACAATTTACAACTAATAAGGAGTTATGTTGAAATTGATATAAGAGTTCAACTATTGATAATGATAATAAAATACTGGGCAAGGCAATGAGATTTAAATAATGCAGGTACATATATACTGTCAATTATAGCTTTTATTAATAAATATATATTAATATAATATTTAGTTAAAAGCTTGTGGAACCTTATCTTCATATACCTGGACATGTATAATTTTGAATTTCTTGCAAATATGTAATCTGCTGATATTGCCAGTGCTTCAAATTCCTTATGATCCTTTAGCTAATGGGGCTGATTTGTCATTAAACAAGAATATTGATTCATGGAAAGGATTTGGTCACAAAAATCATAAATTGGTTGGTGAACTATTGTTTGTATTCTTTAAATAGTGAGTTAATCTGTAATACTTAAATTATTATCATGGCTTATACTGAGATTGGCTTATGCTAGGATTTGGGTTCCTATTTCAATATATAACATAACCTTTTTATTATTAATACTGACCTAAACCATATTGTGAAAAAAGAGGCTACAAAAAAAGGCTACCAAAAATTTTATAACTTCATAATAAAATAGGCCAAATTCTCAGCATAAGCCAATTTCTGATAAGCCAATTGTATAAGCTGTCACAATTATTGTTAAGGATGATACTGAATTAGCAAAAGTATAATTAGGTTTGGTCTTTTTTTATAATTATTTCTTAGTTGAAGCTGGAAATTAGGGCCTCGATTTAAAAATATAAATCTATACTTACTATTTTTTCAAAAAAATATGCTGTAAAAAATTTAAAATTTTAATATTAAAATTTTAAGTTTTTAGTATCAGCGTTTAGAGTCATTAATAAAGAGTATATTAGTGATTATACTTTTAACATCAGGATATTTAGTTAATATATGATCTTCTAATAAGAAATAAATACATTTTTCTTCAAGACTTTTTTTGCCTTTTTTATTAAAGCATTTTTTTTTAAAATCTTCAAAGTATTTATTTTTGTTGATAGAGTCCTCATATTGAGTTTTGATGTTATTCTACAGTTTTATTTTCTTCAAAGGTTTGTTAGAAGCTTTAGCATGCCAGATTTGGATGATTATATGAATGCAAGAATTTACTTTGGATTTTTCTAATCCTGATTTCCACTTCTCTTTGTCATCTTTATTTACTCTTTTTTCTCTTTTTTGCCTTTTGCTTTAATTGTTAATCCAGCATTCTCTAATATCTCATCCTTTAAAGGATAATTTTAACATAAATATCTCATCCTTTAAAAGATAATTTTAATATAAAAAAGAAGAAAAAAATCTAAGGTGATTTACAAATAATCTTTTATTTTTTGGAACCTAAACATTAGTTTTTAATAAATATTGCTCTTACCACATTTTTTATATTTTCATTTACTTTGTTAAGATTTGATAACTTCTCATGAAGATCAGATATTTCCTTTTCGAGCCCTTGAATTTGAGTGTCCTTGCCTATTTATATATAGGTGTGTTAATAGGTTGTAAATATTCGAAGGATTGTAAAATAATCGACTCGATCTGTATTTCTTGTAATAACCTTTCTACTTATTTTTGAGACATTTTGTGCAGATAAAAATGTACAATTTATATTTGATTTTAGTTTACAAATCTACCCCAATTTATGTGCAGCTATTAAAATCCGTAAAGTACTGTTACATGTGCAAACTATAAACAATAAATAAATAGTACTGTTTCAGGTATATATATTTGGGGCAAATATTTAAATTAGTATAGTCACACATGTTGCTAACAGGTTTGAAATATATATTTATATGCGCCGTATATTGCCACATCCAATAATAAGCTACTTCAAAATTTTACTAGGTAAACCAGGTTTTGGTTCTGAACAGAAGTTGTTTAGCTCATCAAGCTGTATATTTTATACAATTTGGACAAATATTTATGAAGATATTTTAATTTTTTTAAAAAAACTTAATATTCGAAAATAAGTATACAATGCAAGATATTTTCTAAAAGCTATAAATGTGAGTAGATATGTATATTAGCCCCAAACATATGTGACTATACTGATACGTATATTTATACCAAACATGTTCTATATACTAATATATATATTTACTCAAAACATGCGTGACTATCTGCTACATATTCACTCAAACATGTGTGACTATACTAATATGACCAGTAGGATAGACTTTGTATTGGCTGAGCCAATTTTGCTTAGGGTCATAAGCATTAATAGGAGAAACCAACTATGTATTAATACACACAAGACACCAGAAAGTAACAGACTAATAGTGTACTAGACACTTACAGAACAAATATTCTTATTCAACTAACTAATCTAGTACATTCTAAAATATAACTCAAAATATCAAAAGACTAAAAAACTAACAAAAACTAAGAACTAAAATACATAACATTTTATATATATCTATGAATAAACTCTAAAATAAGCTATAGACTATTTTAAAGTATACTTTATACTTTGCATAAACTATTAAAATATTATATGCAAAAGTATATGAAAATATAATAGTTACGTATATTAGCCAAATATGTATATAGTAGCCCAAAACATAAAACTATATGTGACTATACTAAATATACTAATACATATAGTAGCCAAAAATATGTGCAACTATACTAAATATACTAATATGTATAGTAGCCCAAAACATGTGCGACTATACTAAATATACTAATACATATAGTAGCTCGAAACATGTGCGACAATACTAATACGTAAATTGGCTCAAAACATATGTGACTATACTAATACATAAATTAGTACAAAATATGTGTGACTATATTAATACATAAATTGGCCCAAAACATATACAACTATACTAATATGTAAATTGGCCCAAAACATGTGTAACTATACTAATACGTAAATTAGCACAAAACATGTGCTACTATACAAATACATATAGTATCCCAAAATATGTGCGACTATACTGATATGTATAGTAGCCCAAATCATATGTAACTATACTGATGCATATAGGGCCTTTGCTATGATTTTTTTTTACTAAAAATAGATTTGTTATAATTTTACTAATTAAAATCTTATGTAACAATAGCTCGGAGGGTCATTTTGTTAGCAAAAGCCCCATATAGTGGCCCAAAATATATGCTACTATACTAATATGCATAGTAGCCCAAATCATGTACTACTATACTAATACGTATAGTAGCCCAAAACGTGTATGACTATACTAATACGCATAGTAGCCCAAAATGTGTACGACTATACTAATATGCATAGTAGCCCAAAACGTGTGCGACTATACTAATATACATAGTAGCCAAAATATGTGCTACTATACTAATATGTAGTAGCCCAAAAACATGTGTTACTTACTAATATGCATAGTAGTCCAAAATATGTGCTACTATCTCTTAAACCATCCCAAGTTAGCAGGCATATTTAGCTGCTAAAATGTTAAAATTGTTATGTCTGATCTATTTTTTTAAAAATTTATTA